CAATCATCTACTATCCCCGATAGTTGCAGTGCTCGTATTGTCTGTTGTCCCACCCGATTGAAAAAATGACGATGTCGGTCGAACCTCGGATTCGTCGAATACCATGTATTCCTCGAGCTATCGATCTGGACCCTACGAGTTCGAGTAAACGGGGTTTTACTGTATAATATTTTAAAGGAAGGTAGAAAACTGAACTTACCTATCAAATGTATTTATGATCTTTTTGATAAAATAATAATACCTATCTTGCTGCATGGATGTGAAGTCTGGGGTTACACAAACACTAAGATTTTGGAACGTTTTCATTTAAAATTCTGTAAATTGATATTAGGTTTGAAAAGGTATTACAAATTGTATGGTTTATGGTGAACTTTTAATTGAAATACAAACTAGAATGATTAGTTAATGGTTAAGAATGCTACAGTCTAAAGATAGTAAATCGAATATTGTTTTGTATAACATGTTAATAATTATGAAAACAAATTAATTCCCTACATGAAATTTATACAAAGTATTTTAATTGAATGTGGACTAATATATATATGGAATTCACAGTTTTTGGAACATAGAAACCAGCTATGGGTAAAACTTATTACACAGCAAATATTAAATGACTAGTTTTTACAAAAATGGAGTACTGACATTTTTAATTCCTCTAAGTCTGTTCTGTGTGTTACAGAACATATAAATTTCATTGTAATTTTGAAAATTATCTAGAATTGTTGACTGAAAATGAACGAATTGCATTGTGTAAATTTAAACCTAGTAATCATAAGTTTATCGTGGAAACTGGAAGATGGAATAATGTTGATTACCAAAACAGAATATGCACATATTACGATACCCAATACATTGGTGACGAATTTCACTACTTGTTAAAATGTCCCTTTGTCTACAGAAAGGAAGTTATATTTAAATCAATACTTCTATGTAAAGCCAAATAATGAAAAGTTCTCAGAACTAATGAATACCAAAAATGTTAAAATTTTAACATGCAAATTCATAAAAAAAAAAATGTTAAAAAAAAGGATCATGATTTGTCCTCCACATGAATTACATTTGATATTGTATACTGTTGTAAATAGATTTTCTCTGTACATTAATAATTTTGTAAAGAGAAATCAAGTTAAAGTTAAAATGTCTACTTTCATACTGTGTGATACGTGTACTTTTTGAACTAAAAAATACACAATACACAGACATGGGTAGGGTGTGTAACATCTTATCGTGTTTCAATGTTTTACGTTGTTCAGTTATCAGTCGAGAAGTTTACATTTGCTTCCAGTCAGTTAATGTTTATCGATAACACCCATAAACCGTCAACTTGACACAGATACCTTAACTCTAAACACATAGATTACGGAATGTGGACACATGTAAAGGAGCGCACAAGTCCAGAGCATCCGAATGCGGCGCTGAATTCTTCGTTGGGTTGTTATGCACCCATTTCCACAGTTGGAGATTCACTCTTTTTAATGTCTGCCCTTTTCACACAATTATGCGTGGGCTGTATAGCTTTATTGTGTTGAAGATCAGTCTTTCTTTATGAACGAGGCAATGATAGGCATACCATTAGGCTCATACCTAGTAAGGTTTTTCTTTATAGAGCTGAAAGCTTGCACATTGGTGTCGCTGATTAGACTCCCAGCGTCGGACAGGTGCTGCAAATATTGCTACTGAAGAGATAATGTTGCTTTACTTTGTGATTGATTACTCTTGTGCTTTAATTCGTAAACCGTTCTCAGGAGATCTTTAAAACATCTTATTTGTGTCAATACTAATATCACTGATATTTTATTGAAAAGAGTTGAAATTGTCTCTTATATTTCAGTTTATATTTATATTATTATCTAAAGGACCTTTGCCTATGAAACCCGAACAAAGGTGAACTGATATCAAATCATTCGATTCTGGGGAAATAAGATATAAATCTGAATTTACCGGAACCTAACAGTGTTTTCGTATTTGACAACATGTCCTGATATGTATATGACAAAAGTTGCATTATGCGAAATGTAGTAAATGTCAAAGAGAAGAAAAAAATAAGAACATTCAAAATTAAATAGATACATACAAGTTTAGCTTTTCTACTGATTCGAATCTATGGCAGAACTTCCATTCTAATCGTGAATAAACATATCTTCCGTTTGAATATCAGCAGCCATCAATAGGTTGATAATTACGTTTTTAAATCCAGATATCCATATCAGTTTATAGGAGTTCAAAATCAAGATTTTCTCAACGTAAAGATTGACGAGGCTTGAGAATATTAATGATGGACCTTCTTTGAATATTAACACAAGACAGTTTTAGAGAATTTTGAAATGCTCTACAATCACATAAAATACTCTACAATCACGTAAAACACCTTGCAGAATTGAAGGTTTTAGTCTGTGTCTTCTTTTTGGGGACATGAAAACAACTAAAATAGATCTGCTGCACCCTTTGCAACATTTAGATGTATTTCTTCGTCTTTTGTGGGTTTTTTTAACAACTTCTATAGCCTAATTACTTAAGTTGTATGTTAAAGTGTTATTCAGATTTCGCATAATGTATAAATTACAAAATTTTGAGATGCAATCACCGGCTTGTGTAACGTTCATCTTTCGCAATACCTTGTTTTTGGGCCTGGAGTTAACCCTGGAGTTGAGGTGAAGTGTTTGCTCAAACGAAGGAGGGTATGGGTTCTGTCCTCCGACTGTCCTTAAAACTGGTACTTGCTGCCCTTAACTTGACGTTCAGCTTATCCTGTTAATCCTTTTAATTTCAAAATTCATAAAATAAGGGGTTTTACGGACCTACCCCTCTGTTTCAACAGTAGTTAAGACAATTCGGAATTCGAAATGTTTGGCCCCTAGCAACACCGATGAGTCATAGAAAGACAAAACAGCTGTATGATTCAGTATTATTAATTTTGGCATATTACCAAATGGTGCAATGGTGTGTGTGTTATGTTAGACTGTTATCAGTACAATATGACCGAGTGGGGTATCATGCTGTCGTTTCCATGTTATGACACAATAGTTGGATGGCATTTTACAATTGTCCTCGAGTGGCCCTATCCACTGTGGATACCGTCGTCAGATGGCGTTAGCTGAGGACGTAAAACTACAAACAATCGCGTAATGTTATAGAAATACAATCCAACTGACAACATATGATACAGTTTAAAAGTCCATCAAGGATGTAAAATTCATTTCAATATTCTTGTAAAAAATAATAATTAAAAAAATGAAAAAATCAATTAAAACAATTATTAAAATTATATAACCTTCACTTTGAAAGATTTTTTTCTTTTAGATGATTTTGTCAAATAACTACGAATATATTCATCATTAGAAGCATCCCACTTCGAATCAATAGCGCTGCAATGACTAGAATTCCTCGACTTAAGACAATATTAAAAATCGATTTTACACAGCTATTGAAATTCCAAACAAATGATATTTGATATTCAACAGGTTTCCATTAGCGATTTTCCTGTATGGAAACGATATTTACCCTCGGCTTTGTTGCAAATATATCGCTTTACAAAAACACAAGAACTTTAATAATAAATAGTTAATAGGCACACCTGCGATGATACATATGCTTCATGTTCCAGGGCAGTCATAGAGCACAAAAACAAGGAACTATTGTACAGATCGATATCAGCGTGGGTAAGAGTTACAATCTGAACTGTTTGTCAACGATAAATAATGTACGGGAATTCAATATTTGAGTGAAGGGAATTGGAAAATGATTCGTGAATCCGAGTTTTACGGTCATGTTTCAAATTTCTGTAAAACTATATACCACTATAAATCAATAAAAACATAGCTGGAAAAAGTTTTATATTTTCATAAATATTTTTCTTTTGTGTTAGAATTTGAATCCGCGAAATAATAACAATTTCGGAATGTTACCCATATCATCACATCCGCTAATATTTGCAGGATATTCAAATTTAGATCGACTTTTCTATTTACCAATTAGCAAAACAAAATAATATCTCGCGAAATGCTACTCATCCCTGCTCTGTTTAAAAGTTCTTCCGTTGGATATAGGCTACAAGCACCTGGTCTGAAATACATCCAGCTCTGACTAGATGGAGCCTCTGAACACTGATCCATGCAGGCGTCGCTAAGGAATTTACCCTCGAAGCTTTTGATCTTGACAAAGATGCTGAGGCTAGTGAATCTTCAAATAGACTTGCGAAGACTCTTTTGTCTTTGCTGATGCTAGTTTAGACATCCTAGTCTGTAGTCTCTTTTCTACCCGATTCCCTCAGTTGCCTCTCATTGACTTTTACTGGAATAACTGAGCTTTCTTGCCATTGACTCAGAGTCATACAGTATTCTCTCTCTTGGTCTACTGACTATTTCCTTATGTAACGTCAGTTGAATGCCAAGGAGAACCGCATCGATGACTGGTTACATTCTTCTTGCTTCACTCCAGTGTCTACGCTGAAGGCATGTCAGGTAGTTGGTTCGAATAACTCAGCAAGTTAGGTTAACGTAGAACTGGACGATGCTAACCACTTTACGCAGGAAACTCTATTGATGAAGGATCTTCAAGAGTGATGCACGGTACAGATTATCAACGCTTTCCCAATGTCAACAAATGCTACGTAGAGCGGACTGTTCCACTCAAGTGATCGCCTTACTTTTTCATACAGTAGAGTGCCCACGGCTACAGTTACACGCTTGGGGAGGATGAGATTATAGACATTACTAGCTAAGATAGCAATGTGATGCCCTCTCAAGTTGGTGCAGTCTCCAAGGTTTCTTTGCTTTAGGGAATTTAAGAAAACCTCCGTTCTACAATATGACAAATGCTCCATTAGCAGCTGGATACATTTAGCCTTCCAGAGGTTCTTTTGCTTTTGTTTCGGTTTTTTTCTTTTGTTTTCGTGTTAATGACGTCATGGTTTTCATTGCCTTCTCGGGTGCTGTTGTCTTTGCAAACATAATAAGATTTCTGATTGGGTTGTTGCAGTTTTTCTATCTAACATTCTATAATAACAACATAAGCAATATATGTCCTAGTATTTTCTTTTTATTAATTATGTATCACTTGTCAATTATCTTCCTGACCTCTCCGACCACAGCAGCTCGCATATCAGCACAATAACCTTGTCACCTGCAACAAATGTCGAATGTTAGTAAGTCAAAGCTTAAAAAGTAGGACTGTTCAACCGTTCAAAACCGCTACTAGAGCGGACTTTTCCACTCATGTGATTAGCTGGATATTTTCATACAGTAAAGTACCCACTAGTCCACTAAACCTGACCATTATCGCAGGCTCCATAATTTATAAACAGGCGACCGATCAAAACTTTGTAGACTGCGATTATGGTCAGTTTTAGCTGACTAGGTACCAATGCAACGGAAGCTTGAATAGTAGGTCTATTAAACCGTTAAAAAAAAGTTAAAAAAAGAAAAGAAAAATTGGAAGATTTTCTAAAAATATGCTCTAGGGTAACCTGGGACAAAAATCGAGAACGATACAAAGCTATACAAAGTTCACCCTAAATACTCCAGCTGTTACGCTCACGTTCCCTCTCTGTACCACTTTGATGTCATAGAAACATTTACGGCTCAGTGAGCGCCACCTTGTAGATTTAATGTACATTAAAAGAATCTCGTGGTCGCGTAACGATAAAATTGATGGCTTTGAAGTCGTGTGACCTCTTCTTTAATCTTTAAAGGACAGGTATAAGCCGAGTGATTGGTCAGGTGGGTTTTTTTAGCTGAGGGAGGGGGTGGGGTGGAGGGAGGGGAGATAACGTAAGTGAGTGTAACCCCTGGATATCGTACAAAGCTATGAAATTTGAGTATTAACATTTCTTATCACATGTTTACACGTATACATGACACTGCCTTATGCGAAAGTTACTGGTGGCCAATTGCAACATAACAGTTTATCTATTGAAAACCTTTGAGTTGCTAATCAACACAGTAATGTTCATGTTGACATAACGACAAGCCTCTCACCCCTGATCATGTATCATTTAGCTGAATACTTTTTTCTATCGCATGCACTTGTATGACCTGTAGACTATTTATATAACCATGATATTACTATGTAAAATGTATATGCATGTTTTTTTTGTATATAACCATCCACTTAAAAGCAATCAGAATTTATTTTCATTCTGTTTTTCGGTTTAAGAATTTTATTTCTTTTTGTTTATCATTCTTTTAATACTTTTGTCATCTTTATTTTTGTTGTTGACATATTTCATTTTGTATAATTTCTCTCTTATCCTTTCCTTTCTACTTATTATGAAGTTTCAGTACATCATCTTATCATCACCTTGAAATAATAATAATATATACCAGAAATATGGAAAAATCTACCTTATACTGATTTCTTTTATCCAGGAAATTACTAAGTATAAATCTTGTACATTCCTTATCTTTCAGAATATATGCCCTTTGACATAAAGTCCTGCATTTACAAAAAAAAAAAAAAAAACACCAGAAGAACTTGAAATGGAGGTAAAGTTGACATGTCCTTTATAGCTGAATTTGAGTTTATCGATAAGAAGAGGCTATCTGTTAGTGTGGGTGTTAAAAATAACCATGGACTTGTTATAGTTAAACGAGGGCATTATCTAGGTGCAAATCAGGGTAATTCATTTTGACAAACTAGATAGCTCTTAACCCTAGCATGCCAATAGCAAAACATCATCACCCCTGACCTCCTGGTTATTCAGAACAAGCTGTTTAAAGTAAAAAGCTGAACGTCAGTCAGCATAAGGTCACTTAGCTTGTCTGACCATGTGAAATAGAAAACGTATTTACATCTCCTGAAACTACTGAGATATTGATTCTGACTGATTGATGTGTGGATAAGTTTCTCCCACAAATTCAGATCATGATTTATAAAAGCGCTTTGATATGTATATTTCATGTCGAATTATGATACAAGAAAATTAGACAAATACAAGTTATTTGTTTCAAGTTTTACTGAGGCTTGGGTACACCTCTGTATATTTATTACACACTTACCTAGCAGGTCTAATGAAGGCTCTGCTAATTTCCTTTCCAGAAGTTTATCCAACAAGTTCCTCAATTCTCGGAACATAACCCCAGTCTTAGCAAATGTCTGGATAGGAAGATACAGGTTTCAAAATGGTGTTTCAGTTAAAATCAAGCAGATACAATGACTGACAGTAAAAGTGATAATTTTTGGGTGTGGAAATGTTTGCGTTGGAACTCTATACACTGATCTTGTTTTGGAAATGTTCATGTTGGCCATGGTTCTGAAGTCAACTGGGAAATCCCAATTTTTTGTCGGGTTTCGTGGGTAAACTCATATGTCCAGGAAGGAATTACAAGTTTGACGTAAAACTTTTCTCCGTATGAATGGGTACTCGTAATCACGAATTCATGTACCCACAAAATGGTGTTTTGGGGAAACCAAGAAGCATTATAAGAATCAATGATACATCCATTCTTATACCCTCAAAAAGGGTATCAAGTACATTATTTGTAACTAATGGAATAAAAAGTACTGTAATAGTTATAAATGTTATTTTACAGGCATCTTAGTGCAGAACTCTTTTGTATTGGATATAACTATTACAGCTAAGTAGCAGTATTGTTAAACTCATTCACCCCTGAAAACACATTTGAACTCTTCAAAGGTTGGAAAAGTTCATTATGAAATTTCAGGAGTTAATTCCTAAAGAAAATTCTGATAAAGTAACACGAATAATGAGTTTCATATTTACCGTGAAAGTAATTCTGTCATCCACAGTGACTAGTTGTTCTGTATGCTGAACATGTATATCACCACCAAACAGTAACAAAGAGAACGGAGAGATTAGAGTCACCTCCCTTAGGTACACCTTGGATGTCGTCATCTAAAAATATAATACAAATGCATGTACATGTAAATAGCCGCAAATAGCAAATACCTAACGGGTATTGTTTACTTAAGTAACAGAATATTCGTGAATTCTATAATGAATTTTAAAGCTGGATTCCTCCTGTGTTTTGTTATTGTTTGGTTTAGTTTGTATGTGATTCATGTGCTTGTAACAGCTATGGTCATTTAAGGATGTGTCTGATTCTGGTGGAGGACAGCCCAGAGAAAAACCACCGACCTACAGCCAGTACCTTGCGACTAACCCACAAAGCCCTCGAACCCACAACACAGCAGAGGAGGGCTAAACCACCAACCTACAGCCAGTACCTTGCGACTAACCCACAAAGCCCTGGAACCCACAACACAGCAGAGGAGGGCTAATGATCGTAGATGATCATGTGCCTTAACCACTCGGCCACTACGGCCCCTTTTGTTATTTTATGTATCAATGTAATGCAATTGAAAGAAGTTAATAGCATATGAACACTACGATATATGAAGTAGTCTCCTTGGTTTTTGATATGCATTAAGATCCCATTTCAACGGGCTGTACCAGCTAATTAGCACCATGCTGTTTCTTTGTGTGGCAGAGGACAGGATAGTTTTTAAATGAAGGGACCCAGGATTTTACTATGCCTTCACATATGTACAGTCCTGGACGATCAGAACCCCAAATGAACAATTTGACATGTCTTTTGCCCAGTGATGATTCCTGCAATGTTTGAAAGAAACTAATGCCTGTATATGTCATTATAAGATATAAGGTAACTTTGGACTGATCCTAAATCAAAGGGCTTAAAATTTACATTCTTTATCCAAACAGATATAAACATACCGTACCATTCGGCTATAGTATTCAAACATCTAAAGAAGAAGGAACTTTTGAAAACATCATGCAAATATATGGACTCCTTGGATTTCCTCTTTCTAAGTTCCAGGTCTCCCCATAATTAAAACTTGATATCCCTTTCACACATGATGATTCCTGTAAAGTTTGAATAGATGTCCACAAAGTAAATGACTGATAACAACTGATGAAAACTCACCTCAGTTTGTTATTATTTAAACCTTTGGCTCAGGTGACCTATAAATAAAGGTGTGCTAGTTGTAAACATGAATTTATCACAGATAGAAGACAGTGGGCTTAATTAACCTCCCCATAATTTGCATTTACTGACCTTCTCCTGAAAGGCTATCCACCCATTGGCTGCCAGTGTCCGATTGACAGACGAGGGATGTACTCCGGCCGGGCCCTGGCTGGTCTCACCGATACACACGTGGTTCTTGCGGGGATGGACAGCGGCATCAACAGGGGCATTGTATGTTACCTTGGCAACGTTTGGATACAGGCCAGCAGCAATGGCTGCTTTCACCATGGCGACTGTTTTTGAGTCAATGTCGGTACTTGTTCCAACTGTTGATTTACTTATTTGAAGAACAGATCCAGGTTCAATTTTTGTTTTCTGTTTTTGTGAAAGTCTAGTATCTCCAAATCCTATAGATTTTACAAGTCGCATTAAGTCGTTTGATAAATTCTGAAATATGCAAAGATAAAAACATTTTGTTTATTTTTTGAATGAGTTCTTTATGCCAGTATTTCATTCTAGACCGTTCTGAACTTTTGAAATGTCTGAATGTCCAAAGGGACCAAACTAACAAGATAATTCTAGAATTGTAAATGCTTGTTTTCAAATAAGAAGATCTGGTAAAATAGAAAATAATGTATCAAATGGTCAATACACAACCCTCAGAGTCACTACACAAAGACATCAAAACAAAAGGAAAGACATCATGACCCCCAACACACACACACAGAACAGTACAGGTGACAACCAGCTTGGGCCTGAAAGTAAATCCTAACATTTTAAAATCAGTAATGAATATAATGGCTGATTACCTGTGCAAGAACAGTGAAATGTTCCGGGATAATCTTAACACATAAACATACAAACTACAGTGCATGAATACATGTACAAATATTGTTCTAACCATATTCATAAGCTTCAAATTTATCCAATATTTATAGATATCAAATTATAGTTCATGACTCGTGTTCAGTCATTTAACATTGACATTCTGTCTTGTGCAGTACAAATGTATATCAAGGATCTAAAAGATGTTAAAAGTTTGACATTTGTGAGTCGAAGCCTTGATGTTTTTGAAAAGTTTTTCCAATGGTTCCACACAGTACAAAACATCAAAGTTTGACTGTATTTCTACTATCAAATATCTATAAGCATAAGAAATGATCAATATTTGTGATAAAGAATAAAAAATATATCTATTACATAGTAGCACAGACCTCTATCTCCAGTAGTGTATTCCTCCTAAGGAAGTACTTCTGACAGTACTGCTGTTCAACATGGCCGCCTTCCTTCTTAGCTTGCTGCCACCTGTAGATCAAGTCATAATTAACAGTACAAGATTACAAGGAAATTACTCATTATATTTCATTATTCCTGATTTTAATTGAAGTTGACCTCTTTTGAAGAGTTTCAGTAAAACCTGATAATTTCTTAAAAAGATTACACCTTATATAGGAGACAAAAATTGTGATGAGACCAATGACAGAGTAACATAGAAATAGGGTACGGCAAAGATATCTTTCCCTAACCAGAAGTGTGGTTATCTCTGTCTAATGAAAATTGGGTCTTTCCATCATTCATTTGAATTGGCCAGGCTATATTTATGCACTCTACCCACCCTATTTGCTTCACCTACCTACCTACTGAGGTCTACCACAATATTAAACTCTCTAGCTGTGCCACTCTTCACAACCCTGTCTCATCCTAAGCACCCTAAATAAAGGGGTACACACTGTCCATATGTTACCTAGATCTGATGAGTTATACAAATTAATAAAACCAATTTTATTTACAATTGGATATGGTATTATATCCACACCATACGGACTGAAGAATAAATTCATCCCTTTAAAATAAGCACCTTATATTACTTACCCGAGATACGCCTTGTAGACTGTCAGATGATCAGATGCTGCGGTAGCCATCGACACTTTGGCTGCCTGGGCGAGGTCAAGTTTCTGTATAGGAGCTACAAATGGAGACTTGGTCGTCATGGCAGCCGCAACCACAGCCTAAAAAAGGAAATGGCTACATTATAAAAAACTTTTTTTTTAAATTCAGCCAGTAACAGGAAATGGCTACAATTAAACAGACAACTTGCATCAAAATTAAAGAACATGAGCATGAGCATAAATGTTTTGTTCAGTTCAAGAAATTAAAGAAGTTAAAACTGACCTAAACACAAAACTAAACTGGCTGGAAGTACATACATATGGACCAAGTCAAAACTTAATCTTTACACCACTTTGGTGGCAGGGCATACAAACCAGAATATTTACATTCTGTATGCTTAGACCCATTGACAAAAATTACATTCATAAATGCATAACACAGGTGTTCATAGAATCTCAGCACGCGGGAACTAATAGTAACCTGATCACACTGCGTAGTAATACACTACAAAAACTCACTCACTCGGAACGACCGACCTAGATGCTTAATTCTTACATCTTAAAATATTATTGAACTGTGCTTTGTGAAATATCCACGTATTCACGTGTCCTGTGCTACAAATAAACATTGAATATGGAACTACATTTTGTTGTGTTATTGTTGTTGACGGTTGCTAAGATCTCTCACGATAGTGTCACATTCCCCCGCGAAAAAACACTGTTCTCGCCACTGCGTTGCACCCGTGTATAAGCAGGAATAAACCCTGTTTATTTGTTTTATTCGTTGTTATGTCGATCCACTGAAAGGATTCGTCAATGTAAATATAAGGAATGATATTTATTTTTTCAACATTTATGAGGTCATAACAACAATGGGTTTTTGGACATATTTTACATGAATCGCTAATGCGATTCATTCAATATGTCCATAAACCCATTGGTGTTATGACCTCATAAATGTTGAAAAAATAAAAATCATTCCTTAAATATATAACAGTATATATATATGTGTATAATATTCAACAGTAGAAGTGTTAAAATTGAGTTCCTGTAAATAGCTTGTTGTAATATACTGGTTTAAAGCTATGCAATCGTTAATTGAATATAGAAATATCACAACCTGGACACAGTAAGCCATTTAGTTTTGAGCTGACATGACTTGCCACTCTCTCTTCATGTCACATGCCAAATTTTTCAAAAGCTCAGCATCTTTGACTGTCCTTTCTTTTCAGGTTCAACAATTTGAAGAGGTTACCCCAGATAAATGAAAGCAGCCCTGATTAAATGAAACATAGCTTGTTACTTATTCCGCTAGATTTAGCTCCACTAGTACATCACTTGTTACTGATTCCGCTAGATTTAGCCTCACTAGTACATAACTTGTTACTGATTCAGCTAGATTTAGCCCCACTAGTACATCCCTTGACTACATGTATAGTAATCTCACGAGTCATAAACATCACTTGTTACTGATTCCGCTAGATTTAGCTCCACTAGTACATCACTTGTTACTGATTCCGCTAGATTTAGCTCCACTAGTACATCACTTGTTACTGATTCCGCTAGATTTAGCCCCACTAGTACATCACTTGTTACTGATTCCGCTAGATTTAGCTCCACTAGTACATCACTTGTTACTGATTCCGCTAGATTTAGCCCCACTAGTACATCACTTGTTACTGATTCCGCTAGATTTAGCCCCACTAGTACATCACTTGTTACTGATTCCGCTAGATTTAGCCCCACTAGTACATCACTTGTTACTGATTCCGCTAGATTTAGCCCCACTAGTACATCACTTGTTACTGATTCCGCTAGATTTAGCCCCACTAGTACATCACTTGTTACTGATTCCGCTAGATTTAGCCCCACTAGTACATCACTTGTTACTGATTCCGCTAGATTTAGCCCCACTAGTACATCACTTGTTACTGATTCCGCTAGATTTAGCCCCACTAGTACATCACTTGTTACTGATTCCGCTAGATTTAGCCCCACTAGTACATCACTTGTTACTGATTCCGCTAGATTTAGCCCCACTAGTACATCACTTGTTACTGATTCCGCTAGATTTAGCCCCACTAGTACATCACTTGTTACTGATTCCGCTAGATTTAGCCCCACTAGTACATCACTTGTTACTGATTCCGCTAGATTTAGCCCCACTAGTACATCACTTGTTACTGATTCCGCTAGATTTAGCCCCACTAGTACATCACTTGTTACTGATTCCGCTAGATTTAGCCCCACTAGTACATCACTTGTTACTGATTCCGCTAGATTTAGCCCCACTAGTACATCACTTGTTACTGATTCCGCTAGATTTAGCCCCACTAGTACATCACTTGTTACTGATTCCGCTAGATTTAGCCCCACTAGTACATCACTTGTTACTGATTCCGCTAGATTTAGCCCCACTAGTACATCACTTGTTACTGATTCCGCTAGATTTAGCCCCACTAGTACATCACTTGTTACTGATTCCGCTAGATTTAGCCCCACTAGTACATCACTTGTTACTGATTCCGCTAGATTTAGCCCCACTAGTACATCACTTGTTACTGATTCCGCTAGATTTAGCCCCACTAGTACATCACTTGTTACTGATTCCGCTAGATTTAGCCCCACTAGTACATCACTTGTTACTGATTCCGCTAGATTTAGCCCCACTAGTACATCACTTGTTACTGATTCCGCTAGATTTAGCCCCACTAGTACATCACTTGTTACTGATTCCGCTAGATTTAGCCCCACTAGTACATCACTTGTTACTGATTCCGCTAGATTTAGCCCCACTAGTACATCACTTGTTACTGATTCCGCTAGATTTAGCCCCACTAGTACATCACTTGTTACTGATTCCGCTAGATTTAGCCCCACTAGTACATCACTTGTTACTGATTCCGCTAGATTTAGCCCCACTAGTACATCACTTGTTACTGATTCCGCTAGATTTAGCCCCACTAGTACATCACTTGTTACTGATTCCGCTAGATTTAGCCCCACTAGTACATCACTTGTTACTGATTCCGCTAGATTTAGCCCCACTAGTACATCACTTGTTACTGATTCCGCTAGATTTAGCCCCACTAGTACATCACTTGTTACTGATTCCGCTAGATTTAGCCCCACTAGTACATCACTTGTTACTGATTCCGCTAGATTTAGCCCCACTAGTACATCACTTGTTACTGATTCCGCTAGATTTAGCCCCACTAGTACATCACTTGTTACTGATTCCGCTAGATTTAGCCCCACTAGTACATCACTTGTTACTGATTCCGCTAGATTTAGCCCCACTAGTACATCACTTGTTACTGATTCCGCTAGATTTAGCCCCACTAGTACATCACTTGTTACTGATTCCGCTAGATTTAGCCCCACTAGTACATCACTTGTTACTGATTCCGCTAGATTTAGCCCCACTAGTACATCACTTGTTACTGATTCCGCTAGATTTAGCCCCACTAGTACATCACTTGTTACTGATTCCGCTAGATTTAGCCCCACTAGTACATCACTTGTTACTGATTCCGCTAGATTTAGCCCCACTAGTACATCACTTGTTACTGATTCCGCTAGATTTAGCCCCACTAGTACATCACTTGTTACTGATTCCGCTAGATTTAGCCCCACTAGTACATCACTTGTTACTGATTCCGCTAGATTTAGCCCCACTAGTACATCACTTGTTACTGATTCCGCTAGATTTAGCCCCACTAGTACATCACTTGTTACTGATTCCGCTAGATTTAGCCCCACTAGTACATCACTTGTTACTGATTCCGCTAGATTTAGCCCCACTAGTACATCACTTGTTACTGATTCCGCTAGATTTAGCCCCACTAGTACATCACTTGTTACTGATTCCGCTAGATTTAGCCCCACTAGTACATCACTTGTTACTGATTCCGCTAGATTTAGCCCCACTAGTACATCACTTGTTACTGATTCCGCTAGATTTAGCCCCACTAGTACATCACTTGTTACTGATTCCGCTAGATTTAGCCCCACTAGTACATCACTTGTTACTGATTCCGCTAGATTTAGCCCCACTAGTACATCACTTGTTACTGATTCCGCTAGATTTAGCCCCACTAGTACATCACTTGTTACTGATTCCGCTAGATTTAGCCCCACTAGTACATCACTTGTTACTGATTCCGCTAGATTTAGCCCCACTAGTACATCACTTGTTACTGATTCCGCTAGATTTAGCCCCACTAGTACATCACTTGTTACTGATTCCGCTAGATTTAGCCCCACTAGTACATCACTTGTTACTGATTCCGCTAGATTTAGCCCCACTAGTACATCACTTGTTACTGATTCCGCTAGATTTAGCCCCACTAGTACATCACTTGTTACTGATTCCGCTAGATTTAGCCCCACTAGTACATCACTTGTTACTGATTCCGCTAGATTTAGCCCCACTAGTACATCACTTGTTACTGATTCCGCTAGATTTAGCCCCACTAGTACATCACTTGTTACTGATTCCGCTAGATTTAGCCCCACTAGTACATCACTTGTTACTGATTCCGCTAGATTTAGCCCCACTAGTACATCACTTGTTACTGATTCCGCTAGATTTAGCTCCACTAGTACATCACTTGACTACATGTATAGTAATCTCACGAGTCATAAACATAACAACCAAGTAATTAATTAAATTACATGACTTATGATTGGTTTACTTACCACAGGTTCCAGGTACCCAAATATTGCACCGATCAGAAGGACCTTGCCAATGCGCACATGGACAGGGAGTGTCGCCAAGTGGTGACCCAACGGGGTCAGCTGGGACCCCTCTCGACACGCCCCTACCTCGTGCAGCATCCTCATCGCCCTAACAATCACATTGGGTCTGGGAGGATCCAGGGACTCCGACAGAAAGTGTTCTGGCTCACCCAGGTCACATTTCTGTAACAGGTAAAGACATACTGAGAAATTAATCTCTTTTCCATAGATTTCCATACCTGGATATCGATGTACCAGCACACATGCAAGGTCGATATGAATACAAGCACTAAGACAAATATCATATCTGTAATATTGTGCATTATTTGATCCGAACCCCTAAAGTAATGTCAAAGACTGTTACAATGGCATAACTGTAGCTTAAAATTGGGAAATCCTTTCTGAATAGAAATCCACACCTTGTGGGACATTGATGAAAAACAAATAAAGATGTTAAACTTCAGGGGGGACAAGATCGGAATTCAGATGGTGATACTACTATTAACAAACTAAGCTACCTGGTCAATGGAAGTGTCTTGACCCAGCTGTGTTACAGTTATAGCCAAAATGAAGTTAAGGGGAGGTAACTGTACATAAGATAGCCACACGAAGGGACAGGGCTCCGTAATCAAAATATTTGTTCAGGAGAGAACTCTTACAACAATCACAGGTGTATCGAGTGAATGGAACATGCATAGAAATGTATAAAACATTAGTTCTTACAAAAATCACATCTAGAATGTGCAAAGGAGTTTAGATTCTTATCAGATCATTATCATTTTATTATCATGTAACTATTATGATGATAATAGTTCTAAAACCTAACTCTGACATAGCTCTGACAACTGAGAATTTTAAAAGACAAAAAGTTCATTAAGTTTTCAAGCTCAGGGAGAGCTCAAAATGACAAACTATGAAATTTCAGATGATACATTGTTGTTTAAAACAAAAAGGTTTAAATGATTTTTTCAGATTTTACAATGTTGTGATAAGCCCATGTTCATTAATAACCTCACCTTATTTTGTAAAAAGAAATATCTAAAGATATGGGTCAATTCTGGTAAAACCTTTTCTGCAGCTAGAGTAGGATACAAGAACGAGTCCACTGTGTCACTTATATTTGTCTAAAAACAAAGACTCCTTGGCTTATATCAGTTAAATTATTGGTCTGTGCAGCAAACCCTAATCCTCTTTCACCTAACATTGTCCTCACCATGATATGTAGACAAAGCTCCTCCAGGGGCACTCTTTGTATCTCTGGTACAGTATAAGGGGCCATGTCCTGGTACCTATGGTAAATACAAACATTGCTCTTAAATTGCACAGCTACCGAAAATCAGATATGAATTGTCATAAAGGTACATAGCATAATATGTGTATAATTTGTATGATCTAATAAAACAGCATAGAGTTTCCTTCCGAGAAAATTGTGCAAAACTAGCATTGACAAAGGGATATAACTGCTCCTCTATATGGCATTAGAGATACAGGTGTTTCTCTGTATTTGGACTAGGGGCACAACTTTTCCCCTTCTCTTTTGATGAATTGAACCTGTGCTCATACACATGTAACCTTTTTAACCCTTTCACCCCTATGCAACTTTAGTATAAGTAGACTCTACCACACAGTCCATTATGGTGAAAGAGTTAAAAGGGAGACAAATATGTCTCTTCCTTTGAAAAAGGGAGACACCTTTTTCCCAAGAATTTGATGTGAGTGACATTGTTCTCCTGTCTTTGGAAAGGGAACATCTGTTCCCCTATATTGATAAAGGGAGATAACTGATATTGTACCTTTGCTCTATTTGGATGTAAGTTTCCTCGGTCCTACCATTGATAAGGGCGATAACTCTTACCATTGATAAGGGCGATAACTCCTACCATTGATAAAGGGAGACAAATTTATCTTTACCTTTCATTGGTGTACATCCGGAAGCAGTAGCCTTCTCTGACGCGGCCAGCACGTCCTTGTCTCTGTTTGGCATTAGCTTTACTGATGTACACCTCTCTAAGGGCACTCATCTGGCTCGACTCCATGTACCTGCAATCATTAACACATTCAATATAATATCTACTGCATTATAGCTCAGTCATTTTTCACAAACCTGGTTAATGTTACAGTAGTGATACAGCAAATTGTCAGGCCATGTGATAGTACATAAAAATGTTTCCTATTTCACACCCTACTGATAATACAAACAAAATGTTGTGCTGCCCAATTTAGGAAGCCAGAACTACATTTTGGCCTGAGCAAATCAGTTGCCACCAACAAATCAAAACAAATTGAAACAAGAACGAACAAAACAATTAAGGCGATATTTTACACTATGATAATGTGACATTGTTCTACATGCCATCCATAGTTATGTCTATCCCAACAATGAAGTTGCACTATAGATAGCTGTGATGTCAAGTTTGGCTGTGAATTTAAGTTCAGAAGTGCCCAAAGCCATTCGAAAGATTAGCTATGATGTCATATTTAGCTATGAATTAAAACTCAGAAATGCTCAGAATCATTTAAAACTTTATGTTGCAGATGAATTACTGAATACTTGTTTTTGTAATGCCTCATTTATAACCGAGATCAAAATATTGTAGTATAGCTCTGATTTTGTGCATTATATTTATTCAAATTTATTTGAAATACAGTTAATCATGCCATGTTGCATTTGTGATTTTCAGAAAAAAACGGGTTTCTAGAAATATTCACTTTTACATTGAATTGTGAAAATAAAATTAAAAAAATAACTTGTATACAGTATTGACAGTAGATAACAATATGAACAGTGACTTGTATAAAACAATACAAACCATCCGTAGTTACCTTGTTTCCTTCACTTTGCCTGTATCAATAACAAAGACCACGTCCGGTATAGTGATACCAGTTTCTGCTATGTTGGTTGCTATGACAACTTTCCTGATCCCTGGGGGTGGAACTCTGAAAGCCTCGTTCTGATCAGACGATGACAGAATAGAATGTAGGGCGATCACTTTGTACCTGGTGCGAAAGACACAAACATCTTACAGATTGAGTATGACCTGTTAAACTAAACCCTTTATAATCTGAAATGCTGTATAAAACAGTCTACCTTCCACAATGTCACCTGTGTAAACTGAACTCTGAACAATCTGCAGGAATTTCAGTTTACTGTGAGTCTTTACATCACACAGGGTTATTTTCAATTCCCATCAATGCGGTTGGTCAGTTACGAAGCGTTTTTACTATTTACTGTGCTTTATTTAATCCAATAGAAATCCTGTGGTAGTTTAATTTGTTAAAATACCATTGTGCCAATTTAAACAAGAATTACAGGTAATTATATGTCTCGCCTATCCCCGCTTTGAGCATAAGATTCAATTTGTCAAGCAAAGTCTGTAAGTACATAAGCCATCATAATGAAACCTGGAATATACTTATATCTATATATAACCATCCAAATGCACATTTCAGTTCAAGAATTTTAACAAAAATTTACTGTTAATTGGACTTTGTTTATTAATTGGGCCATGTTAAAGTTTTCTGTTTAGCTGGGGGTTGAGTTTAATTTCTCACAAAGTACATGTGCTGTCATAATCAAACCTGGATTATACTATATCTTTGCACTCAGCTGCAACATCCATTGTCAGATTTGACAAAATGGCCACCTTACAAGTGCTTGTGATTGGTCAAAATTCACAGTTATTGTTCGATTACAATCAAATTTGGTAAGTACATGTATTATGGCACTGCGAACTCAACCGCGGCATCTTCATGTTGATGTATTGCCAAACTTGATTATAAAATATCAAATGCCGAACTTCGGCTCAGACTTACAATGCTTGACACATTGAATCTTATGCTCAAAGCGGGGACAGGCGAGACATATAATTACTCGTAGTTCTTGTTTGTTTTACTGTTTGACTTTACTCTTGAACTAAAATAATGCATGGAGCTGGACATTTTCTGAACTTTTGATACACAGTTGAAATGTTCAACAAAAAGTGCAAAAAAAAAAAGTCTGGCAAAACGTTTTTTTTTTTATATAATTGGGGGATTCAATTCTTTTATGATCATTAAATATTGCAGATAGTCAATATTTTGTTCCTACCTTTGAGATTTTGTAAAGTTTCGGTCAGCCATTAACAATTCATACAGTTCCTGGATGTCGGCCAAGCCAGGCATGAATATGAGCACCGCCCCTTCCATCTGGGAAAACTCCGGACTCTTCTCCAAGTAACACAGCAATTCCTGTAGGGAAAGATCAATGACATTTATAATTTATTATGTGACAACATGTTTACATCAGTATTAGCAAATCTGGATGTTTCAGTTTGAACACGACCACACAGTGTTTGTCTCCAGATACAGTTTAAATATGACCCAGTCCCATTCAGATTATAACTTCCTCCATATAAAGGCAGGTTTAGGTAAAAAAAAATAAAAAAAATTGTGGGATTAATACATTTGTTTAGATTCTTACAGGTAGCTGTTCAAGTAGCATAGAAGATATTTTTGATAAATTAAAGACAATTTGACAAAACTGTTAGTAAGTTCAGAAATGTTACCTTTGCCTGTTAATACATTTTGTATTAGCAATCAGTTAAAACCATAATCGATAATCAGTTTGTAATTGGAAGAAGTAAACCTATTGATGATCGTTTGCATATTTGGTTTATAATTTCATGGAACTGAGTACCTAATTAAAATGAGTACACTATTTTACATCAATAGACACGAGTTGTTAACTATACATAAGGTTTCTTTCAGTATGGATTTCAAGCAACTTTTATGCAGTTTTGATTTTTTTTCTTTTCTATATTACTATCAATAAAACATATAATAAACATCATAGGGATAAATAAACTTCAACATATCCTGAACATTGCATATATTTGACACTTAAGTTCAGTAACATCGATGATCGGAATCGGAAAGATTAAACCAATTGAATTTCGATTTAAATTGATCATCAGCCCATCATCACTAGCTATCATGATATTTTTTTTCCATGACATTAAGCATTTTTCCCCGATTCTGTATTCTGGGCCAATACTGGAAATGCCTGGCCACACATGTACACTGACCACAATAAGGTCCATGTTGATACGGTCTGTGTTGCTTCTCGTCACTGTGTTTCTTGTGCGTAAACTATAGGTGTCAGGACACAGGTTAGTCTGTAAGTAGAATTATCACAGTAATATGGATGTTGCAAATTAAAGCTATTGTCGTCTTTCCGTAATATCATACAATTAAAAACAAATTGATTTCAGATATTTCTATCATTGAGTGCTGCCTTACTCCATCGCCAGTGCAAAACAATCTGAACAAACAAAAATGTTCATTTTGAATTAAGTATCTACACTTTTGTTTTTTTCATGAAATGACTGAAAACTCTCATCTACTTTCATGATAAAGGCAGTTGAATATCAGTGTGTATAGCAACTTACCCGGTCAATTTTGGACACGTTCTCCTTAGTCCAGTAGACGTCCACCCGAGTCTGTTCCCCTCCTTTACCAGTAACTGCTAGATTGGCTTGTTCTTCCTAAAACAATAAAACAAGAAATATCTACATTCATTTCATTATAGCCTTATAATTCTAAAGTCAAAATGAACTGAAAACAAAAGATTAACTTTATTCTAATTGTACACTACTCATTTATATGTACAGTAAATTCTCATTATACTGCCATCATTTGTCCAAAGAAACTTTGGCATTATAAAGGGGTTCGGCAATAAATTGAGGAAAAGGTATGAAAGACTTTTTAAGAAAATGAGAAAGAGGTTCCTTGAAATATGTTGGGAGGAAAGCGAGGTGGCAAATGGAATGAGAGATATTATATTGAGGCTTTACTTTATGTGTGTGCCTTACACATTGGCCTCGATAATTAATACACACATACCTTGACTAGCTGTTCCGGCCTCAGAGCGTAAGGTGAATCGTCATCCAGTACATACAACGTTCTCTCTATCACATCCTCAACATGGTATACCTGTCACAACAATATTTCATAACTAATTTCCCATCACAGTTATACCTGTCATAACAACATTTTATAACTAATGTCCCATCACAGTATAACTCACCCCCCCCCCTGAATTTCAAAATGATGTATTCCAACCTTTGAATAAGAAGATTTCAAATGTGTCTTCAGGGGTGAATATATTTATGTCTCTTCCATGTATTTAACAACTAAAAATTATAACTTTTGAACATGAATTTCTAGGCTCATCTACTAGAGAAAATATTTTTGTATTTCTAAATTTACTACTTGGCAGCCAGTTTCATATAACATGGTGACCTTGGAATCAATTGCTTAAGTTCTTTTCTTTGCCGACACACACCTAAAACATCATCATAATTAAATAGCAACTATAACTAGAGATTGGTTTTTGTAAACAAAAATATATGTATCTCCTTACAAGGTAATATGTAAATTTGTTTTTCATAAGTTTTGAAATCTTTAAAATCATCTGTATTTCTCTAGGACAGTCTTGAAATCTTTAAATTTTGGATAGCTATACCTCGAATTTGAAAATTGATTATAACCAAACACTATGTACATATCGATCCTATCAGGATCTTTTTGGTAATACCTTACCTCCACTGGAAAAGTTCGCCCCGGTATTTGGATGACACTACAGTGATGGAAGTATGCGGAAAATTTATCACTGTCCAAGGTAGCACTCATCAGGATAATCTTCAAATCGTTCCTGATGGACAGAAGACGGCGCAGAATGATGAGGAGAAAGTCTGACTGGACACTTCGCTCATGGACCTAGCACAGCCAATAGATAACAAAATGAAGATTAATAGAAACTTCCCCTTCCTTGAAGATGTGATCGAGATATCTCCAATCCCAGAGGTAATTTATTTTGTTGTCCAATTCAAAGCTCTGCAGAGGGTTAGACAACCTAGTTATCACTCCGAGGGTTGGAGATTTCTGTTTCACCCTCAAGGCAGGGGATGATTATTTGTCTCTCATCACATTGTTTCAGTCACAACTCAATTGACAGTAGTTATATGTGTGCACAAAAGCATACTTGGCATATGAATGTTAGCCCTTCACCTTTTTATGATGTCATGATAACCATTGTCTTTCCATGACACAATTTAGCGCATATTATTCTACATGAGGCTATCTCCCCCTTGGGGGTGACAAGCTGATGTCCCTTGGCTAAAATGGGAGACAAGCTCAAATTTTCTACAAAAAGCACATTCCTGTGATTTACATTCATATTAATCATGTGAGTAGACAAGATATTCTCCTTTTCCTGATTAACCTTCTCGTATAAATCCAAGAGGTTCCTTTAATCAGTCGTGTTATCGTAATTTCAATCACGCTACTAACCTCGTCAACCACAATATGAGTCACATCTTGCAGCACTGGATCAGACTGCAGCTTCCGTAGCAGCACCCCCGTGGTACAATACACCAGGTGTGTATTTGGGCCACACTTGGACTCGAAACGAATTTGATACCCAACCAGCGAGTCACGATGACCGAGTGCACCCTCACCCATCTCCTGGGAGACGCGCTGACTGAGACTTGTGGCTGAAATTCTCCGAGGTTCGGTACACACAATGTTACATCTGTGTCCTTCTCCACTGCTCACGTATTGCTGTGGAGAACAATAGTTTCTTTTGTCATTAATTTGGTTTGCACTTACGTCCTATTAACAGCTATGGACAACCAACATTGATCATAAATGTTTCACTTTTTGGGTTAGAATAGATAAATAATCAATTAAATGTGTGCACCAATTATGAAAAATTCCATATATTTTCATAATTGATCATTGAATTATGCTATAAATCAGTGTGAGAAATGATAAAATTCTGTACAAAGTTCTGCGCATTCACATCGTATTATGGAAGAGTACAACAGCTGCTGATAGCATGACAACTTATCATTATAGATAACCAATTAAATATTTTTTGCTTTTGCATTAATCATGTCCTTGTTATAATTCAGTGTTTGGAATTAAATATTCTTTTTCCATTCCCATTCAGATAATTCCAGGTATGTAACAATAAATGAACCGAAATCTGCAATGAAAAAACTTGTCAAGCAGGTAAGGGCTAATCGCGTCGAGAATGCCTAGTCTCACCTCCAATATAAACTGAGGTATCTGTGTACTCTTGCCACTTCCAGTTTCCCCAGCGATCACCACCACACTTTGCCCGTCTATCCTGTTCAGTATAGCGCCACGGTGTTTATATACAGGTAACTCTTGTCTAGTCTGTAGCAGGTCACAGAATCTGTCCGACTTACATCGACGTTCATACAAACATTTCATTTCCCTGCCTGTCATTGTTCCACCCCTTCGTTGCACTTTTGTTTTCTGAATATTAGACTTAACATTAACCACAGAAGGTTCGGATACAATTTTAGATTCTCCATCTTCTTCATTTTCATCACCAGAGTCTTGAAACTCATCCTATAAGCAAATCAAAAGGTACATTGTAAATGGGAATGTTCACAAATAGCATTTATTCAACTGAAAAAATAAACAGATAAAATTTCATACTCTATTAAATAAATATAATTATGTTTGTTTATATTAATATTTTTGTCCTGCTTTAATACCTGAATCTTTTATGATAAATTTTTAAAAAAGAAAATGATTAAATTCAGCAATCATACATCCGTAGGTAGCATCATACATTTGTAGGTAATTTATGCATTAATAATCAAAATTCCAATACAAGTCAATAAAGGTGTTCTTATATTATTAAGTCAGGGTTAAAACTTTAATGTAAATTCTGTTACAATATCTAAATCCAATTTTTCCAAACCTCAAAAAATTTTGACACAAACTTTGATGAGTGTTAAATTCATATTATTTATATTTCAATCTGGAGAGAGATCTGAATCTTTTAAATCATTTGATTGCTCACTTCATGATTGCTTACCTCAATTTAGATCTAAAAAAAATTACCCAAGTACCATACACAATTAATTGTGTTATATAATAAAAAATATCATGTAGTTGGATTTTGTACATCAAGTAAAACAAAATTATAGTTTTATATAAATTCACATACAGTATGATAATTTATTTATAAATCAAGATTACTTTACAATTCACATGAGTTTAGGGAAATTAATCTTGTAGGTTTCAATTGATTGAGCAAATAAGAAAAACTTGGCAGGAGTTCTTCCAAATCTGCCATGGAATGAAAATAAATTTAAAAATCATTTTTATCACATTTCAAAGGATGTATGCAAAAATATTCAACAAAGTGTCATGTTTTCTCTGACAACTGTGTAGTGTCAACATCTCAACCTTTACTTCGTTTCTGTTGTCTCCAAAGCAACATCACAGTATATTGAAGGTAAGTGAGAAAACTTTTGACAATGGATGTATCCTCTGCATTACATGACGATCTCAATACAATTTTCGTATTACCAGATCTTCCATGTCGTCGAGTTCTTCCCACGATTCCACAACGTTATCGCTGTCTTCTTCAGGGTCTGCCTCCATAATGTTCACAGATATTTTCAGCTTTTTCATTAATTTGCTAATGAACTGATCTCGGGGCTGAAAACAACAGAATAATAGGTATTAAAAATCCATGCTTAATGATCAAAATTGTACTCAAATAATTATTAGGGGCCGCGGTGGCCAAGTGGTTAAGGCGTCTGACATTCTGCTACCACTAGACTTTCACCACTGGATCACGGGTTCGAGACCTACTTGGGGCAGACACCAGGTACTCGCGGTAGGAACTCCGGCTTTCCTCCACCACAAAACCTGGCACGTCCTTTAATGACCATAGCTGTAAATAGGATGTAAAACACAAACAAACCAAATGTACTAAAATCTATTTTTAAAAGTTCCATTCAAGGAAAAACAGCTTTCTCTTCACCAGCTGTACTGTAAAGTATCGTTCATGCGCAGCTGTAGCTTAAACCTTTGATGATTTGCCTCCATTAGACAGCAGCTGTAGCCTACACTGTATTTTCATTCTCACTAGCAGCTATAGCGTACACTGTACAGGGGTATTCCCTCTTGTAGCATCCTTGATACTCCAGGGGTTACGCTCACTTATGCTCTTCAGCCCTGGAAAATGTCATAGCAAAATTGAAGGCACGTGGCCAACTGGTTAAAAGATTACCTGACTAATTGCTAGACTGATAACTGTCCTTTGAAGATTACAGTATAGTAAAACCCCACTTACTCAAACTTGTGGGAGCCAGACCAATAGTTTGAGGAATACATGGTATTCGAGTAATCTGAGGTTGGTCCTAGATCGTCAAGTATATATCAGTCAAATTTTGGGTAATAATTATTAAACATATGTACGTATCGTAAAATGGTACTTATGCTATTATTAAGCATGTCGCTAATACTGGTAAACTGAAGTCTTAGCCCAAGGTATTTTTGCAGTACCGGTGTGATACACAGGTAAAATGTCTGTCAGGCGTGACATGTCACAACTGTTCGATAAATGGATAGGATTAATACTATGACCATGAAGAGTCGGGGATAAATTTTTGTTACGGGGTATTCGAAGAAAAAAAAAACTGTTCGACGAATGAGGGGTATTTCAGTAAACCGAATTTGAGGAAGTGGGGTTTTACTGTACTTGTCAACTTATTACCTTGTTCTCAGTCTGTTTGACTTTGTCTTCTTCTGCCTTCTCCTTGTCTAACCATTCCAGCCACACAGCCCTGTATGAAGGGGGCAGTAACTGGTGGACAGACTGGCAAAAACAATGAATAAATAATAAAAAATTAATATACAACAATTGATACATTAAACCCTATCTACCTAGAATAGGCCACTCTAAAGCACCTTACAGTACATAGATATATTTATGTTTACATTAAATAATACATTAAACAATAAAATTTTAATGAATTTGCAGGAGCTGCCTTATCAGGCGCTAACTACTAGTCCTATGCCACCTGGCTAATATCTCACTATGTGTGTTTGCCTGCTGGAGATGTATTGTGTTCTGTTTGTAGTGGGATTGTGCTTCCTATGGCATCTTTTATAGTGCCATCTCACTTGAATGCTACAGCACAGATACCGCAACATCCACCCCAGACCATTGTATACTCCACCTGAGTTGTTGGAGTTGTGTGGGCAGGAGAAAATCACTTTCTTTGAAAGTTACATATGTATGGTAACAGTGGGGATCAAACTCTGCCATCTATGTGGAAGGCCAGAGTGTAAATCACCCAGTCAATTCACCCTTAATAGTTATACAATATACTTTGTCTAAAACAGACCTGTCTAATCCAGCTCTGTGTCTACGTCTGAAAAACATTGTTCTGATAATGATATTATATAACTACAGTCAAACTGATGTTATAACTTTGTGGGACAATCAAGAAAAAGTTGGAAGACTTTGACTTACGAATGATGAACTTTGAACACCTTTAAAATCCTGTATATACTGCATAGGACTGAATATGATTGTTAAGTGACAGAACACAAGGCAAGACATTTTATTTGGAGTATTAGACTGGCCACTGTCTCTAAAATATTGAATAATTAAGAAAACAACTTTAACTCTAAAATTTTGATCACTTGGATGTCTGATTCCAAGTTCTAAACTAGGGGGAGATAAGCTAGAAGTAAAATGCAGCTGAGAAATTCTTCATAAAACTTAAGGGCTGGTTGTCATAAGTTCCCTAATGATAGGACCTTGATTGAAGTTTGAAACAGAGAGAAATTTGACTTATGAAAGTTTGATTAATAAATGGAATATCAGTAGTGTTATATTTAAGCATTGAACTGCTTTCAGTTGGCATCCATAGGCAATATAAATTCCAACTGGACAAAGGCAAATCCAACAAGCGCTAGGACGCTTCACTGAATTTGCCTTTGTCCAGTTGGAATTCTTATTGCCTATGAATGCCAACTGATGCTTAAATATAATAAAATATGTTCAATACTTATATCTACCGTTTTTGGAATCTGTTCATCTCCTTGAAAATTCGATTACACTTACTATTATTGAGCATTTAGTTAAAATAATGTATTTATCGTGTATGCTTGTTTAATGAATAGAACAGCCATCACCCAGTGGTATCCAACGTAACAATTATGCATCATAATAATGATGACGTCAACAATCGGTCCATGGCATTCATAGCCTATATGAATGCCAACTGACTTTGGTAGGTTAAAATATAAAGAAAACAATCTTGACTTTGCAGTAAGATTTACAAATTGAGAAATTTGAATCTTCAAATGTATGGAAGTTTGACTGTAGTAGACTCTTTAGTCGGGAACTTTTCACAAACTTTCCAAATCATTTGGTTTCAGACGGGATCCGTGATCAATTTCTAGAGAAATTGTCCAATATATTTATATTGACATTAGCAGTTAAGAAATTGTTGTTGATTAACAGTGAGTACGTACCTGACCCTTACACAACTCATACAAAGCAAGTGTTGATGCCAGGTGCTCAGCTTCCTTGATATTTTCGCAAAGAATTTCAGGAACTACTTCCAGCTTACCGTCCTTCTTTCGATCAACCATACACCTAAAATAACAAAATAATCCTCAAAATATACGTTTTCTCATATTCGTGTTTAGTTTATATAGATACATGTACATAAATGTTACAAAGGGCCCGTATCGCTCACCTGGATAATAAAGCAACCATGGAATTTTTTTCTTATTAAAGATAATAGCTCTGCACCCAAGGGGCGGGGAGGCACATTTTCCCTTTAAACAAAAAAAGGTCCCCCTTGCCCAAGGATGCTCTGGACCAAATCCCTCCAATGGTACATAGTCGAAATCCATAAAGCTGTTCAGGAATAGTAGCGTTATAAAGGGAAGTTGACAGACAGACAACATACAGACGCAGCGGTATGGCATAAGCTCAAACAAACATTCAGTGTGAACTGGTGACCCTGATTGTGTGACCCAGTCATCCTAAGTTGCCTGACTTCAAGACCAAAAATATTTGACCTTGTGACTGGATGTCGATACCTGGTGACACTGAATGCATCCTCGATACTCTAGGGGTTACGCTCACTTACATTCTCTGCACACCTGTAATATGTCATAGCAAATTGAAGGCACTCAGCTAGCTATTTGATTGTTAAATGGTAAAAAAATCCTGACCAATCGCCAGTCTGATACCTGTCTTTTGAAGATATTACAGAGGATTGATACCTGATTTGAAAGCCAGTCATTTTTTTTAATCATTACATGACCGATAGATTCTTTGGATGTACACCAAAGTATCAAACTAGTCTTCTAGTCTCATCCACTAGGTGGTACACAGTGAGCATAACCCCTGCAGTATCGAGGGACACAGTGAGCATAACCACTGCAGTATCTTATAACCCCTGCAGTATCGAGGGACACAGTGAGCATAACCCCTGCAGTATCTTATAACCCCTGCAGTATCGAGGGACACAGTGAGTATAACCCCTGCAGTATCGTGGGTGCACTGAATGTGTAACATGATGACCCTAAGCATCTATACCTGCTTGCCCACTTGCTGCCGCGGTGCTGGACCTTGTAGTACCTGGGTGCCTCACACTTGTGTTTGCGACACCAGTCAATCAGAAATTGTTTTGGAGACTTTCCTGTCCACTGTTGACGAGTGTACTCAAACTGACGAACATCCTGTGGCACTTTTGCTAAAACCAATACAAAACAGAAAACTTCAAGTGAAAATTACACAAAGATTATAATAAATCCTTTTTTCCAAGTTCTTAGAGATATCTAAAAAAAAAAAAAAAAAAAAGATATTATTAAAGCTGATCAAAGAGTAATGTTTGTGTCATGGCATACCTTGTACTGATAAATACAGTCCTGTTTCCTTAATCTTACAACTACCTCTAAGAAAACCTGGAATCAGATATTGACTTCTAAGGAATGGATTGGATTCTTTGTGTTTTACGTCCTATTAACAACTATATGGTCATTTAAAGACGTGCCAGGTTTAGGTGGTGAAGGAAAACCAGACTGCTTGGAGACAAGAGGCCAAATGGGCCTGCATAGCTCACCTGGTATCAATCTCAAAATTGCAACCTTAGAAGTGGACTAAAATAAAGCTACAGGCAAAATATGGGTGCCTTTGACTCAAAGCCACTCAAAAGAATCTGTTAAAAGGTTTAAATACATCTGACACCTGTTACCTTGAAAGACAAACAAGGACACAAAGTCAAACAAACTTTGTAGCCCTTCTTCCCAGAATGCAACTTCTCAAAAATCACCATTCTAGACCTTTTGTTTATTGAGAAGATGACTTTTAAAGGTTTATACACAATTGACCAGATGTGACCTTGAAAGTGTGTCAAGGTCATTAACATGAACAAACTTAGCTCTTCATCTGACCACGGTAACTGGTCACAATTCAGAAGAAGTAATTTCAAATTTTGAACATATTTGACCCCTGTGACCTTGAATATAATCCAAGGTCATTCTTTTTAACAAAATTTCAAACCTTTCATCCCAGCATGGTACTGGCTAAAAACCATCATCCGAGTCTTTTTTATATTTAGGAGAAATTGTTTAAGTGTTTGGAACATTTGACCTTGAATATGGGCAAAGGTCATTCGTTTGAACAAACTTGTAAAGTCCTTCATCTCAGCATGTTTCTGGCCAAATATCATCAACTTGCATGTTTTCGTTATTCAGAAGAAGTTGTTTAAAGATTTTCCCCATCATGCTACTGGCCAAATACCATCATCCTATCCATTTCTTATTCAGGACGGATGAAGGATAGATATTTGACGTGATGCCACAGCATAAGATCACTAGGCATTTAGCAACCACGACAAAATTTCTCATTAAAATATGATACTGCAACAATTTACAAATATTGGCTCTATCTTTCAACAACACCTGTCCCTCCCATCATTGGGTCCCTTCTTTCTGAATTGGGTGGATTTTAAAAATTTACCTCAATCCCCCCCAACAAGAAACCCTAAATTTATACAAAATTGAGTCCCCTTTGCCTATGGACACTCTACACAAAATTTTGTTAAAATCACTCTAATCAAACAGAATGATTAAGATGTTTTTATAATTTATCTGAATTACCCCTATTGGGCCCTGCCCCTCTTCCCGAAGGGGGGCTACACCCTTTATTTATACAAAATCGGGTCAACTTTGCCCAAGGATGCTCTACACCAAATCCAAATTTGTTTAAAATCTCTCCTTTCATACTACAGGAGAAGTATTTTAAACATATATGTTCCCTCTTTTGGGCCCCACACATCTGCCCCCAGGGGAACACATATGAGTCCCCATAGCCCATATACGCTCTGGACCAAATCTGGTTAAATCCCTCCCATCAAACTAAGTAATAAGGATTTCAAAGATTAACCTCAAGTTCCCCTATTGGCCTGTGCTGTTCTGCCCCAAGGCGGGATACACACTCCATTTATACAAACTTTTGTCCCCTTTGCCCAAGGATGCTCTGGACCAAATTTGGTTAAAATCCCTCTAATCATACTGAAGAAGAAGGATTTTAAAGATTAAAAGGAGTTCCTCTATTGGGCCCAGCCATTCTGCCCCTAAGAGGGCCACACCCTCCTGTTACACAAAAGGACTTGGTGTGTTATGGGTAAATTTTGGCCACATACAAATTTTCAAATTGAATTTATTTACCAATTTCTGTTATAAACATCATGGCTATCTTTCTTGGTGCAGATTTTTTCCAATGTACATAGATGCCCACCCTGCCATAGCAACAAAATTGTGTTACTATTGTGTTGAAAAGTTGTTTTTTTGGACCAAGTGAGCTAAAAACAACATGGAGGTATTTAAAAATAATATCTGTTTTATGAATTGTTTAAAAATTTCTTGAAAAATCCATTTACAAACAGTTTTAGGTTTTTCTAAGTGTTGATCCTTAGGCCAGCTGAGTGCCAAGGGAACTAAATAGTTATGTCTTTTTTGCCAAGTAAGATAAAACCCTTTTTCTTTTGAAATTTTAATTACGGTTTGAAAAGTGATTATACTTACAGGTGGCATTTTGTCTGAAAAATATCAGGATTGCTTCAAACGAATGTTCGAGGTCAAAGTTGTCCGTACCATTACGGCCGACATTCTGAACCATTACATCATTTAAGTGTGACATATGATGCCATTATCAGCTATATTTTCCTTGACTTAAAACATACATGAACAAAATCACGAAATAGAAAGTGCATATACTTCCTGTATGGCCAACATTCTTAACCATTACATCATTTAAGTGTGACATATGATGTCATTATCAACTATATTTTTCTTGACTTAAAACAAACATGAACAAAATCATGAAAAAGAAAGTGCATAAGGAAGAATTTCAATTTTCCACTGGATTTTATGTTTATATTGAAAATTTCTTTTCCTGGTACATATCTGAGCATCCAATCCTCACTCTAAGTTTATAGGACTCATCAATCCATAAATCAAAACAAAGACTTCCTTATGGGTTCTCCGACACTCCCAAAGTTAAAAGATACTACTGACTATAACCCAACCACACTTGGAAAAAATCAGAAGGGATGGCAGAACCAGTGTTACACTGTGGAGATGTCTGTATCGAAGACTATAAGGGCCCGGGATTTCTGAAATCATGAAGCAGTTGCATTCCTGAGCGAATACAACAGAGAGGTATGACATTCGTTCACCTTTAAAATCATGGTTTCATCAATAATCTATTAAGGGACATCTGGGTAATACGGACACTTTTCAAATGATGACAGCTAATACACGCTCCTTGGTACAGTTTATCAACAAGCTGTGTGCGATATCTATCATAGATATTCTATGAACATGTTTCGTCAGAATGAACGTTCCTTTCTGTTGCAATTTTTTAGTTATGCTTTTAATTGGTTGGTAAAATGCACACTAGTTAATTATAAACAAAAACTTGCATTATAGAGGAATCGGTTGTGATACGACACATGTAGGGAGTGAATTACGGACATGTGTTGGATAATTACGGACACATGTAGGGTAACTACGAACATGTGTCGGGTAATTACGGACACATGTCGGGTTATTACGAACATGTGTCGGGTAATTACGGACACGTGTCGGGTAATTACGGACACATGTCAGGTTATTACGAACATGTGTCGGGTAATTACAAAACGTGTCGGGTAATTACAAAACGTGTCGAGTAATTACGAAAATGTGTAGGGTAATTACAGACATGTGACGGGTAATTACGGACACGTGTAGGGTAATTGCTGACACATGTAGGGTAATTACGGATATGTGTAGGGTAATTACGGACACATGTAGGGTAATTACGGATATGTGTAGGGTAATAACGGACACGTGTAGGGTAATTACGGATATGTGTAGGGTAATTACGGACACATGTAGGGTAATTACAGACCTGTGTAGGATAATTACAGACACGTGTAGGGTAATTGCAGACACTCTAATCATGCACTCACCCAATTAAACCATAGAAACTGGTCACAATGTTTCGCCAGGGGTTGCTACATGTTCTGCTCCAAGTTATTGTTCTGTCGGCATACAACATACCGGGCAGTTTGTAATTATAACTTACCTCCCCTCTCAATGACTCTTTGTAACAACATTCCTATTGAGCACTGGCATGTTGCTATTTGGTTTTGTGATAATGGAGAGTATAAAATGTAAGTTTAACAATCTATTAAGGTGTTATAATTGTGTTAATTCTGATATCAGATGTTTTGCTTGTAAAAAGAAATCAATGTAAAAAGCCTATTGGTTATATGTAGCCTTTTGTAAGAACCACCTAAATATTAATTGGACAATTAAGAACTGTCCGTATTTACCCGCCTAATAAAAATCTGTACGAAATTACGGATGCCTCAGGCACAACAACAACAAAAATATTAATAAATTACTGCAATCAAAGTACAATATAAAGTATATGTGTTAAGTTTTTTGTGAAGATAATCGTAACATATCTGTCTCGAATCATGGTTTATTTTTCGGACATTGTTTCCGAAAACTAAGTTCCGGATGTGTTGCAAGTTACGCGCATGAGGACGAATATTATTAGATACTGTCAGCCAACGGAGACAAACATCCATATCAGTAGATTGATCAATGTCTAGAAATAACGGAGTCTGATTTAATCATATGTAATGGATTATGTGTGATTCATATTATTAAAGAACTGTCCGTATTTACCCGGATGTCCCCTATATATTCTTTAAATTAAGTTGAGAATGATTTCACTTTCTATAATGTAATTTTGTTTATATATGTTTTCAGTCAAGGGAAATGTACCGTCAAACTTCAATGTTTTGAACTTGATGGGAACATTTGGAAAAATTCAAATCATCAGAACTTTGACTCAATTGGGTCAAGAGACTTTTCCTTAGTGAAGGTAAATGGCAGTACATTATCAAGTCTATTGTAGATATTCACCTACTTGTTAATGTTGGGGATGACTATTTACAAATTCGTTATGATAGATGCAAGAATCAGTTCTGGAAAGATATCCTGAGGGCATGGGAAAGACTTAGAAAAGCTGAGAAGGAAAACCCATTTAGACAAGGGAAAGAGGTCACAAAAACTCCAATATGGTTTAATAGAAAAATAGCTGTTGGCAGGAGGTCAGTGTTTTACAGAGAATGGTACAACCATATAGTATAGTTATAATCTGTGATTTAATCAAGAATGATAACTCTTTTTT